GCAGGATTTTTTTTTTTAGTAATAGTTGGAGGTCAGTCAATAAACTTCATTTTTATAAGTTCATTCATCATGAGTTATATGCAGAAAGCTCATCTGCTACTTTGAGATTTTGATTCCGCAATGCATGCACGTTTGCTCTGAAACAACATTGCAATTGCTTAAAAACAAATAATTTTGGAGTTAGTAAAAGTGTCAAGAGACCATCTAATGCAAACCTTGACCACAATTATGGTGATATTGCATGTATGTGTGTGTGTGTGTGTGTGTGTTTTTTCAGTTGATTTCATCCAAGGCTGTGGCTAAAGTCAGATGTAGTTCTTGTGTTTCTCTTTTCTTCAATGATGTTGATTGTTAACAGCAGGTTTTCATCACTAATGCACAATCATCATGTAATTAGTCACTTAATTATCTCAGTAACTTTAACTCTTTGAGGACTTGGGATATGACTTGAAGACTTGCTTGTGACTTGAAAGCCCCACCTCTGGTTGTAGTTCTTGTTTCTCTTTTCTTCAGTGATTGTGCTTGTGAACAGCAGCTGTTCGTCACTAATGCTCAATCAGCACTTTATTAATCACATAATTATCTCATTAACTTTAACACTGCTTCAGTGTTACTTTAACACTCTTTTAGAGTGGGACCATATATGCTCCAAGCAGTGTTAATTTAACACTCGGGATTTTTCTGTGTATATATCTCAACAAGACCAGATGAAACTTCTAAATTATCTAAGCTAACAGAGTGTGTTAAAAATGTAAAAGATTGGATAACCAATAATTTTCTCCTATTAAATTCGGATAAGACAGAGATATTACTCATTGGACCAACAAACAGTACACAGAATCTCTTGGATTACAATTTGCAACTAGACGGATGAACTGATATTTCCTCTACAGTTAAAAATCTGGGTGTTATATTAGATAGCAACTTGTCTTTTGAAAATCATATTTCCCATGTTACAAAAACAGCATTCTTCCATCTTAGAAACATTGCCAAGTTACGAAACATGTTAACTGTTCTAATGCAGAAAAGCTAGTTCGTGCATTCTCATTCATTTGTCCTCATTTGTAAGTCGCTTTGGATAAAAGCTAAATGCTAAATGAATAAATGTAAATGTAATGCATTCATGACCTCTAGACTGGACTATTATAATGCACTGCTAGGTGGTTGTCCTCCATCTTCAATAAACAAGCTACATGTAGTCCAAAATGCAGCGGCTAGAGTCCTTACCAGGTCAAGAAAATATGATCATATTAC